TCTTTTCTAAAGGCTCTTTCAGCTACTCCACTTCCACCAAGAGGAATGTCTTCCTAGAGTGTTTTAGCCACAGGTTCCTGCCACGCTCTTTCAAAGTTTTTTGTTTGTTCGTTTGTTTGTTTGTTTTTTAAGACAGGGACTCAATTATGTAGCCCTGGCTGTCCTGAAACTCCCTATATAGATGAGGTTGGCCTTGAATACACAAAGATCTGCCTGCCTCTGCTGGAATTACAGTACCAGGTCTTCTTAACAAATCAATGTTCAACACACACACACACACACACACACACAAGCACACACACTTTTACTTGAATTAGAAGCAGCCACAGAACTATCCATCAAAAAACTAACTTGAAACACATTCTGTTTTTTATCATTTTTGTAAAGTTTACAAGCAAATATACACATGAAAGTTTAGGTTGGTTTTTATTACTGTTTTTCTCCTGAAAAGTTGTCATGCTTTTGTTTAACAGACTATCTAGTTCTGCCCCAAATTCATGTATTGTGTCTGAAAATGAAATGAAATAAATTATCACTAACATTTGGTTCACTATCATTCTAGAAATGACAAATCATTTTCTTATGTTGTACAGTTTCAGAAGAGTTGAGAGAATGGTCAGCATTAAGGACAAGCTTTTAAATGTGTCCACAAATGTGTCTTGCCTAAGACTATTCACTGAAAGCAATAAGTAAATTCACAAAAGCAACAAAAATGCCTTTTCAGTAACTGAAAGAAAATGTTCAGTTTGGGTCATAAAGCAAACCCAAAGAGAAAGGCTGTATCGTAGAGATTAATTCCATTAATGGACCAGCAAGAAGAACTACAGCTCTGACTTCCTCTCCATGCCAAGTCTAGGCCTGGAGCCAGGGGATCCCTAAAATGTACTTGGAACAGCTCCCATCTCAACAGCCTCCAGAGACAGAGTTAATTTAAAAGCCATCCACTCCACATAGATGGCTAAGTTGTGTAAGGTGTTTATCTGTGCAGGATAGGGGAAAGTCTAGAAAATTTAGAATTCAGAGATAAAGATGTCCCTAAGATTATGGCTGAATGTAGATATTTTCCCAGTGCTTCCTCCCATATCGACAGTCCCTTATAGTCATGAGCAAATACAACTCTAATTCTGATGTGTTGGTAACAAAAAATTATCAGAAAAATTCTTCAAGAACTTTCAGTATTACTGATCAGTATTTCTACTTTACCTATAGACTAGAAAAGCAACAATAATGTTTATTTAAAGGAAACATCAAAGTACACAAGTAAATTATGAAATATTTTGTAATTACAAAATTACATCATCTATCCTTCTATGGAAAAACTGTTGACTGTGAATATTTGAGGGCAATTTAGAAGACAGATTTATGTTTTCATGGACATGTATGACAATTCAGAAATGGTGGCCATGCTTCAAATTTCAGCAACTTCATCTCCTACAACAGAAACTTGCAGCCTCTTCCCACTCTAACTTCCAGAATAGTTCTGACCTCTAGATGATGTAAGAATTTGAAGAATTGGCAATGTGATGAAAAAGGCTTGGGATGATAACTTTCTGGGGTTAAGAATTAGAATTCATGTTTTCTTCTAGCAAAAATAAAAATGAACATTGAAATGAAGTGTTCTCATGAATACTTCTGATCGGATGGCTTCATGTTGCTACCTCAGAAGCCAACAATATATAATACTGTCTCCATGTAGAAAACAGTAAGCAAATACACATTGAAGCTCCAATTGAAGTACAATTTCTTTAAAGTATTAAAATCAATTCCTTTGCAATATCATTCAAACTCAAAACAATTTTTATATTTAAAATATTTCCCCATACATATTTTCAGTTACTCCCTCAAACAATTTGAAATGCTTTAGCATATAGCATGTCACTATTTGTATATATCAAATGGTACCACAATAACAAAGTATGCATGACTTGTCCATGCTCATGTAGTAAACACGAAGAATACCTTCTTTCCAGCTTAGTAAGGTCCTCCCTTTGCCTTGGTGCTCTCTACTCCTTCCATGCCCATCCACATGTGTCTATACTGTCATCGCCCATCACCTTCCCAAAATACCAGGGATTTCATAAAGATAGCCCTCAGGCATTTGACAGTGATGGTTTCTTTCTCTGACTACAGCACATTCAGAAGGAGATTTAGTTTAGATTCTGCTTGGTAATTAACTAACTTGACCTAAAACTAAACTTATTAACAATCTGAACACCAATTTCTTTATTAATGTAGTAAGGAAAACAATATATATGCCTTTTGAACTATTTGGAAGCTTAGTGTTGATAAAATAAACAATTATGTGAGATGTAAAGACCTATACAAACCTAAAACACACACACACACACACACACACACACACACACTCTTTCTGAAATATAACTTAGGGAAGACTCCATAACTATTAAATCAAATATTTGATTCAATCACAGTATTCAGTGCTGCTTCACAATGTTTTGAAAGTCAATGATCAACATATGATTATGTTAATCAAACATGTTTCATGAAGTTGAATATTCGTTACCACCTTCTATGAAAGAAAGGAAAAAAATTGAACTCCACCCTGTCTCTAATATCAGTGTCCATTTTCTCCTCATCACTCCAGCTGACCTAAACTATTTTTTATTATAATTTTGTGTGTCTATATGTCTCTGTGTGTGTATGTGTGTGTGCAGGTGCACATGTGACACCGTTCACATGTATAGGTAGTGGACAACTTTCTGTGTCAGTTTTCTCCTTTCCCTAGTGATCTCGGGATCCAACTCAGATCATGTTTACACAGCAATGACTTTTAATGCTTTTTTTTCACTAAGCTCTCTTGCCACCCTAAGATTTATTCATAATGCCTTCAACACACTCTTTAATGTCCTCCATTTGTTGAACTAGTACAGATCCTGATACCTTCAGTACAAATGCTACCATTTGCAAGAAGCTTTCCTTAATCTTACCCACTAGAATGGGTGCTTCCTACTGAGAAATTTGTCTATGTTTCTATCTGGCACAGTTCTTATCATCTGAACCTATATCACATTTGTTTACAAATATGATAATCAAGTATATTTTAAACATGTTAATATCTGTATTCATGTTTTAGTAATATTTCTATCCCATAAGCATGTAGCAGAGTATCTTCCACATACTAGGTATTCAAATACTATTTGTCATCCAAATACTGGGCACATAAGCAACATATGTGGCTTGAATTTCCATCTGCATATTTCTGCCTCATGCATTTCCACTGAAGCATAATGAATGTAAACTTGTGAGGAAAATATCATCTATCATTTAAAGCCATTATCTTGATTATCAAAATGCTCCACTATGGGCAGAAATATAACTTACCAAAAATTTCAAAGCTACACACACACACACACACACACACACACACACACGCACACACACACACACACACACACACAACTACTTATACTCTGATTTCCTCCATCATTTGAATATATTATATTTAATTAATTATAGTTTTATACATAAACAACGGCTTATTTAAACAGTTAAAGTATCCAATAGGAGTTTTTGGTTAAAAAACTAAAAGATACTTTAAAACACAAGGAGACACTGACATATTTAAAAATATGTGTTTCTCATACATTATAATTAGTAACCAAATTAACATAAAATTATCAATATTGTTATTATCATAACACAGACTTAATTTATAAAAACAGCATACAACTCTATCTCCTAGAGATGTTCTAATCATATAATCTTTCATTGCCTGTTGTCAGTTTCTTCCAGGACTGTTCACAGTCACAGTGCATAGACAGCCCACTCAGAGATGTACTCCAGATGGACTGAATGTGCTTTCTATACAGTAGGAGTTATCAGACTTAATTAAAAAAGGAAGACCATGAAACTTTTCCTAGACTCTTTTGGACCACAAGTCTCTTTACATCACTAGACATACAGCATTATCCCATCTTCATGTTATCACCTCTTAACTCCAGAGAGTGTCTTAGTTTTTCTGCTGCACTGTAGTTTTTAGTGCCTTTTCTGGAGAATGTCCCCAAATTTCAACCCATTAAAATATTAGCTTATTTGAGATCTTTAAGCACTAGGCTAATATTAACTGACTAGTTGTGAATTATTTTATCTTTGATAAGAATAAACAGCTGTATTCATCTATGTCACTACTGGCCTTTTATGAGTTGATGATTAAGCAGGTTACCTAGGTAAGAGATATAAACTGAGAAGGTACACAGCATTGGCTGGATTCACTTCAATGGCTTCATTTTGTGGACTGATCTATGATGCTATCAATGACTCTCAACTACTGACGGAGACGTGCCCTCATGGGGGTATATCAGAATGACCAGCAGAGATGGGGCATGTACAAATTGAAAACTGGACTTAAGTCAGCATTACAATTATATTTAGAATTTGAAAACAATTATCTATTTTTAATACAAACATGATCACAGTTAAGAGTACCAAAATTTGATGTGGGGGTGATGGGGCATGCCTGTAATCCCAAAACTTGGGAGGCTGTGAAAGGAGACTAGTAAGTTAAAACCAACCTGAGCTACATGAGTTCCAAGACAGCTTGGGCTGCATGGCAATCCTGACTGAAAAAGCCAAAGTCCAACAAGCAATGAAACAGAAAATACAACCGCAATGCTAAAATTTGGTAAGTGGGAGCATCAATTCAAAAATTAAAGCAATACTAGTTTATGTAAAATAATAATGTCTGAAACACAGAATAAAATGAGTTCAGTATCTTTCCTTCAATTCATATCTGTTGTATATGCTGAATCTTCAGAAACTGTGGCAATGTTTGGGGCTTATCATCAGAGAACATGTCTTTTAAAATAAATTTACAATTGACAGAAAAAGGGAAAAAGGACAAGGGGGTGGAGGGAGGGGGAGGGCGGGAAAGAGAGAAAGAGGGAAGGAGAAGAAAGACAGCACCTTCCTATCAAGTAAGTGTCCTGTGTAGAGGTGATGATTTGCTTACAGAGAGTGGTCAGGTAAATAAATGCACTCACCTCCCTTAAATGAGGGTTGGGATTGAAACCGCAGAGGCTACAGACGGTAGTTTGACACTCAGTGCATGTGTTAAAATTGGCCTTTTCTGGAACATGCAACAGAAGTTCAGTGGCGTTGCAAAGAGGACAGATGGTTTTAGAGAGACCTTTTACTGGAGTCTGTACTGTCGATAAAGCTGGTGGTAATTGTATAGGTTTTCCAGTTACCATTTGGCTTACTGGTTTTGTAGGCTGTTGAGCTGGGGGCTTTGCTGGGGCAGGCTGCTGAGGTTGGGGCTTTGCTGGGGGAGGCTGTTGAGGCTGGGGCTTTGCTGGGACAGGCTGTTGAGGCTGGGGCTTTGCTGTGGCAGGTTGTTGAGGTTGGGGCTTTGCTGGCGCAGGTTGTTGAGGCTGGGGCTTTGTTGGGGCAGGCTGTTGAGCTGGTGTCTTTCCAGGACCAGGTTGCTGAGCTGGAGTTTTTGTAGGCCCAGTTGTCTTAGCGAGAGTCTGTGGTCCAGGCTGTTTAGCTGCAGGTTTTGCTGTCCCTGGCTGTTGGACTGGGGACTTTGTTGGCCCTGGCTGCTGAAGTGGAGTTTTTCCAAGCGCAGGTGGCTGAGCTAAAGACTTTGGCCCTGGCTGCTGAGACAAAGGCTTCTCTGATCCAGCCTGTTGAGCTTGAGACTTTGCTGTCAATGGTGGTTGGGCTGGGGTCTTCACTGGCCCTGTTGGTTGAGCTGTGGACTTCACTGGCCCTGGCTGCTGGACTGTGGCCTTTCCAGGTCCAGTCTGCTGGACTGCAGATTTTCCAGGACTTGCTTGATTAACAGGTGTTTTGGATGGGATCTGCTGGGAAGGTTTTACTGAGTCTGATGGTTTAGTTTGAGGCCTGGTTGCATCTCGTTGAAGTGGTAATTTTGCCTGGTCCTTCAGTGGAGGCTGGGCAGACCCCTGAAGAGGCTTTCCTGTGCCTGGGGATTGTGATTTCATTTTTTCTGGTTGCTGGGAAGATACTGACTTAGGAGAGCCATCCTGCTGTACTGGGTCCTTTGCCGGTCCTTGCTGTTTAGGAACTGGTTTGGGTGATTGCTGCTGTGAGGGAGGTTTTGTGATTCCTTCGGATTTTCCTTGTTCCTTCTGAGAAACTTTTTGTTTCTTGATAGCTTCCTCCTGGGATGCCTCAGAGTCTGATATTAAATCAAAAGGATTGAATTTATTTACAACAGAGGAGACAGCACTTAAAGGGTTAACATCTGAGAGGAAACCAGGCATCATACTAGGCTTGTGCTCTTCCCTAAAATCAGTTCTGGACTTTGATTCTTTCAGGCTAATAGTGGAAGGACTCCTTCCAGGCAATTTCTGCTCCAGCCTAAATGTGTCTGTAGTTCTGCTTTTACTGAGACCGGGCTGAGTGGGCCGCCCTGGGTCAGGTGGCTTTCCCGGTGGCTTTGGAGGCTGACTACTAGCCAACTCTTGTTTCCTGGAAAATGAAAAAAGAAATGAAAATAGTGGGTTTTTTTCAAACCAAAGCAATATTTAAAACTGTTATTTTCTTATAAGCTCAAACTTGAATGATCATAAAACTTTTAATGTCTGTTATTTTTTGAAAGGGTAGAAATTTTCAACAAGGTGTTGATCAGAAAGCTTCTTAATGAGATAGCAATTTAAAGTATTTATAATGGGGATCAGAGAGATGGCTCAGTAGTTAAGAGCACTGGCTGCTCTTGCAGAGGACATGGGTTCCATTCTCAGCACCCACATGGCAGCTAACAACAGTCCGTAACTCCAGTTCTAGGGAATCTGACGTTCTGTTTTGTCCTTTGCAGGCATTGTAGAACATGGGTTCACTTACATACATGCAGGTAATATACCCATACACACAAAATAAAAATAAATAAAATATTTAAAAATTAAAATGCTTATAATGAACACTTACATAGATATATTTACTAGAATACATAAAGTCATAATTAAACATAGGATTAAAGTAAAACTGCACTAAGTCAATGCAATGTCATATTGCAGTACATATATGATCATTAGTGTATGATTATTTATCAAAAGTCAAAGATAATCTAAATACAGAGAGAATTAACAAGTAAAAAATGTTCATTTGAAAATATAATGTTTTGCAAAATGTTTTACTTAATTTGGATAATTCATATTAGTAACATAAAGCGCACAGTATTACAGGAAATTGTGGGTAAATGGAACTTAAGTGGCACCTTGTAGGCAGCTGAGGAAGTTGATGACATATTCAATTTTGCTCTGTTCTACCTAGAAGGATAACACCCATCAAACCCTATCCTTATCAAACTTCACAGAGTAAAGACTTTCCCTTTTCATTACTTAATTTCTTGAAAAACAAATCCATCTTTCTTGTGAAAGATCAATATTACTTTATCTTTTCTAATAGTTCATTTTTACTGTGAAATGTTCATGGAAAAATCACAAGATGATCAAAGCATCTTGAGCATTAATAAATTAATTATGACCCTATTTTTGAAAAGTACTGTTACTTTCCACAGGTAAGGATAAACTGTAATACCTTCATTCAGTGTTTGCTACCTTACTTGTTATTGCCAATGATAAATTATGAGGAATCTTATTACTGACATTGATACAAAGGTATGTCAAGTAGTTTTTAAATGTTTCTTTCAATTCATACCTCAAATATAAGAGGATTCATTCTTTAAATTTTTATTTTTCTAATATGATCAATTTTAAGTGATTTTTGGATAAGCAACTAAAATACACCTTATGTATGTATTTAGCCAAAGGTCATATTAAATTTTTAAATAACACATTTTTTTCATCAATTAAGTTGCAATTAAGAGAGCATTTTACATTATAACCAAGGAGAAAGTGAGATAAGTAATTCATTTGATACATGTCATTTTACATTTTGAAAACATGTTTCTCCTTAAGAGAAATGAGATTAAAAGACCAGTGAGTTGGTAGAACCTAAAACATGAGATGATCACAATAAAGTTCTACATATTTCTTTTCAATTAGGCTTAATTTGCTAGTTAGGGGCCAGTTACCTTACAAAAGCAATTTGTGCTATTCAATGAGATAAACTAAGTTCTTCAGAACTTGCTTAATGATTAAAACAAAGATCAAGATCTAAGATAGTGGAAACAGAGAAGTCTTACAACAAAGACTTGGAAACTAATCCTTAAATGAAAATGTATAGATTAAATGATGAATAAATATGGCAGCGTGTGGCTCACTGGTACAGGATTTGCCTGGCAAGTGTGAAGTGTAACCTATCCCCAGCACCATATATTAATACTTCTACATAATAATGGAATAAATAGAACTCAGTGTGGATAGGTTCCTCCAGGAAGGGGGTTACAAAAAGTAAACATTTTACTGTATTTCTGAAAGTTTCATTAAAAGAGACCTAAAATTATTTCTTCAATAATTTTCAAAAGTTCCATGATAACTTTTGAAACACCTTGCTACATATTTCCATCTGGACATAATCATTTTGAATGCTTCTTTATAAGACACCTTATGTGCCCTCTTCTGGATAAAGATGGAGAGCCATAGTACATCACCGAAAATGGGTTACTTCAGAGAGGTACATTGGGCAGAATTTGACATTATTCTGGAAATGTTCACATTAAATTAATATAATGAACACTCCTTTGAAGGGACTGCATTATAGATGTGCCTATCTTATAAGTAATTATTTAGAAATTATATTAAATTGAATCCTTGTATATGGTCCAGATGGAAA